GCAGATCAGCGCGAGGGAGAGCCGCAGATCAGCGCGAGGGAGAGCCGCAGATCAGCGTGAGGGAGAGCCGGCAGATCAGCGTGAGGGAGAGCCGGTAGCGGCAGATCAGCGCGAGGGAGAGCCGGCAGACTTGAGCTGCTGCGAACCGGTTCCGCATTGTTGCACAGCGATCCAGGCAGCTGCTTCCAGTGCACGGTCCATTCTCAAAGTGGCGCAACCAAAAAACTATAATTAGCACACGATCGTTCATGTCCGCACATGTTCTCTATTTTCTGTCTTATTTGTGCCTGAAGCGCGCTACTGCGGAGCTCATCACCTGTGCTGTGGTGATGTCACCTCACGCAGCATCGAAAACGCGCTCTGCGCTTTTCGGTCAGGAGATCCCTTTGACCTGCTCAAAAGTAACTGATGAGGTGAAAAGGTAAGAATCCAGGCAACAGATTTTCTGGAGAATTAAGAGGAGATGCAGGAAGATGAGAGACAGACAGGACAGGAAAATAGTTCAATAAAAACAAGAAAACAAAACAAAGTGTTGAAAAGTAAAATGTAGGTAGATTTATCTCCACTACACGTTTTTACCAGTAAAAAACAATAAGTTATACACATGTCATATTTATACATCTGATACAATTCAGATCACCTTCAAAACTCAGTCACACACCCAGGGCCGTTTCAAGACATTTTGGGGGCCAAGGCAAAATGCCCCCCCCAATAACTGGGCTCCCCAGAAGCCTCTGTGTAATTCATGCCCTCTCCAGTAGTGTTAGTTATATGGTGTTTATAAAAGCCCCTCAGACATTACTGACATGCTCTAATATTATCAGATGAAAAACTAAATTATCAGACATGCTGTCTCATCTGCTTATTTTATAAACTTGCAAAAAGTAACAAAACCATTTGAAAGCCACTATTTGTGGATTCTCTGAAAGTTTCCATGGAGTTTGTGACAACTTATTTTTTCATTGATCCTATCGTCTAATCTCACAGTTGAAACAAGCATCCTTAATAATCTGTGCACAGGAAGCTTACCGATGCTGTAGTAAAACAAAAGGTATAATAATTTATTATTAATAAAACCTTGTTGCAGCACTAAAGCAGAAAAATTAGATTTTGCATTAAATATGCAAAATATTTACATATGAATTGTTTTAGAGCCCTTTAATTGGCAGAATCTGATATTAATTTAGTTCTTACAAAAAATGGGTCCCAACATGGTTTGTGTGGCGTTGCCATAGTGTGACGTCATAGGCACAGATCCCCTGTCCTCTTGTTTGGAAATGGAAATATGGTCACCCTACATTAAACAAACTGTCCACCCGGGCTTTTGCACTGCACAGAGACGCTTCGCTGCCTACGACTGAACGTCAGTTGAGAGTCAGTCTCATGCAGACTGACCAATGAAGAGAGGGCCTCAAGTTAAGACCCTCTCCTCATTGGTCAGTCCACACGAGGTGGGTCAAAGGTTACTATGGGCGGGTTACGTGTTGTCAGGCATTCAAGTATTGAGTATATTTACTGCATATTACAGTAAAATATTCTGTATGTGACCACATTATGGTGATCCTTGGGTCGTGATGATGGAGCCCTTGAATATTGTTGCCCAGGGTACAACAAAGTGTTAATCTGGCCCTGGTTCCGCCGTCACATTCCCGCAGAAACTGGCTAATCACACCGGGGCCAGACTACTAGCATGTGGTTTTACAACCACAATGTCCTCAGAAGCAAAAACGCTTTTAAAAGGGAGGGAGGAGTCCTAACTGTTGCTGCAGGCGTGTTGTGTGAGAGTGCAGTTATATACTGGTTAATATATTTTTGGGTTCAGTTGCTTTCATGTGGCCTAATGTGAGTCTATTTGGGATCATTGGAATGATCAGCAGCATTTCTTGATGTGACTTTATGGCAGTTGCCCAGGGCATCATCGCAAGGAGGATGGCATTCATTTACTTTTGTTTTATTTGGTATTTTTTCAGTCATTTTTGGAAATAGTGATCAATTTTGATAAATTCACAGCCTATGTTTAATTACATTTAAAATAAATGTCAACAGATGAGATCAAACAAAACAGATGAGAATTGCCCTTAAGCTGTTTAACTTGGACCAAGCATTTTAGGTCATAGATAGATGTAGCTTAGGGTCTCTGTCTATACACCTTATAAGACAATTTAGGTGATGGCATGTTGTTTTTCTGCTATTGAACTGTTTTCTAATAATGTTGTGTTAAATAAAGTGAAGGAAGGAGAGAAATAACGTTTCCCTAAGCAGTTTTTAAAAATTTCCCCATGTAATCCGATTAATCGATTAATCGTGTCGAGACCCCATCCGATTAATCGATTATCCAAATAATCGTTTGTTGCAGCCCTAGTAAATACTGCTCTCCATGATGAAGTGTGTTAAAACCTCCAACAAGTTCACCAGCTTGAACCAAGCTAAACTGGCAAATAAATAACCTCACTCCCCACTTTTCTTTTGTTCAAAACTCCCGTAATTCAGTTGCATCACCTAAGTGTGCTACTTCTTCCAATAGGTAGCCTAAGTCTCCTCCTTTTCTGGTCGGCTCATGGGTCCCAACGAACAAATGAATGCAAGTCAATGGGGCTAAAATGGGTATTTTCTAATCCGCTCAGCCTTTCGCCCTGGATCACAGATATGTTGTACTGCAATTTAAATAAAAAGTAATGATAGGTGTTCTGACCACGCCAGTCATGTATTTTAAGATTTATCAGCTTGTTAAATGTTTGTAATTAGCATGACTACGTCACCACAGAATCTCTTCTCCCCTAGCGTAGCTGCTACTTACCACATGGCCAGATTTATGGTGGTTCTTTCCTCCTTTGGGAAGGATTTGAAGTTTGCTGAACTTACAGCAGTTTCCCTCTGTTTTTCTCCGTGTTCGATTCGATGACGTCCCTTTTGTGATGCACATTTGTAGTCCTGGACTCATTTTCACACAAAACTTAAAATAGCTTTTTCCCCCAAATTTGAAAATAAGTGTGTTCTTGGTATCAAAATGTGTCTTTAAAATTCACAGACATCATATGTGAAATACATGGCACATAACAAGCAGAATTAGAAAATAGCGTTTTTAGCCCCGTTGACTTGCATTCATGTTTTTGTTGTTCCGGGGACCCATGGTCCGGAAGTAGACGGGCGTAACTTGGGCTCCCAATAACTGAATTGAACTTGAGCTTGTAAATGGTTAGAATTTAATTACAGTCAAACTCTAAATTAATCTAAAAGAACATTTGTTTTGCTAAATTAATTAAAAAATATGTGTTCAGGGTTGTTTTAATTAAATTTATAATCTGGAGAGCTGACCTTATTTTCTGTCGTAACCAATTAAAAAAAGTTTAGCACTTTAAGATGAGGTCCGTAGTTTGATGCCATCAAGGAGAGGAGGAGAAGAATTTGAGATTTGAACAGCTAGCTCCAGCTTCTGCTCCCCCACCCCCTTTTTGAAGGAACTGAAAGCCACGCTTCATAGCACACAATTAGCCTTAGCGCTAATGGAGGGCCACTGTGGCTGCACGTTTTTTGATGTTCCTGCTCAGACACAACTGGCTTTAACTGCTAAATTATCTCCTCAGCTTTTTCTGGGTTCTGCAGGAGCTGCTAATTACTCGTTTTAATAAAATGTGCAGTGTTAAAACAGGGAAATGTCTAAAACCTGCAAGAATTAAGCCCTTGTGATGGTAGCACACCTGCTAATGCTACAAAAAACTAAAACAATTATCTGATGTAGAGAATACTTGAACGGTAATCACTTAGCCCCAAAAATATGATTCCCCTTTTCTTCCCCTCCCTCCTACAGTTAGCTTGAATTTTCCAGCCCAATATTAATCCAGTGCAGGTCGAGTTAGCACTGAAGCTAGGTTGGTGGACTAAGCTGATTGGGGTAACAGACATCATATACGACAACCCGTGGATTGGTGCTGCCTATTGGAGCTTCTGGAGTGACTGGTCGCCATCTTGGATTCATTGGATGCCTCCAGTGCACTTATTTCTACTGAGGAAGGTGCTTACTCAACTAAACACATTTTATTATGCTTTTTCACAAAATCAGACACGTGGCATGATAGTTCAATTAAAAATGTATTTGAACAAAATAAATTAAAACAAATTAAAATATAAAATCTCAACAGGTAGGCTAAAAAAGTCAATAGTTCTCCCATGTGATCTGTTTTCAATAGAACGCCGGTTGTTGCAATCGTAGGCTGCACAAAAAACGGGCAAGTTGCTCACTCTGTGTTGCCTCCAGTTGGGTTTGGACAATAAGGAGACTGACTAATCCAAAATGGCAGCAACGCTGATACAGTCTCCAGTGCCTGCTGGGGAGTCTATATATTCATTTCTATGACTGTGGTGGATGCATCGCCTCACAGTGCATGCTGGGAACAGGGAAGCATTCTCGTTGACCGACAGCTCCCACTTGTGGATACGCAGCTCTGTTGGTCGACGGCTCCCGTAAATGGTTTGTTCTGATTGAGCCAGGGGAGGAACTTGGGGGAAATTTAAATGATAAAAGATTACCCACTTTGTAGCATATAGAGCAGGGTCAGATAGTACAAGAAAATGGCGTTACTTACCCAAGCTTAACAAACAACTTTTGGAAAATAAAAACTAGTCACAAAGGGAGAGGAGAGCATCGTCTAAACATGTTTCAAGGGTCTATTTTCTAGATTGTGTGTCAAGTCTCGCCTCATTTACGAAGCAGGAAGCACACAAAACAACATAGTTGATGGAAAAATGCAGGACTTTGAATGTTGCTAAAATATGCACGTTTTGTTAGAACCAGACACAAATTAAAATTATTTAAACATGAAGCCTCTGTTAAAGATGCTAAAAGAAAATTTGGCAGCAAAACACAAATAATAAATGTTGGTTTGTTCTTTACTTTTCATTTTAAAAATGAGACCATTTAAAATAATAAAATGTCACATGAGTAAACAGAAATAGTGTTTGAGATTTCTGTCACATCGCTGCTGTAGTTGTCTCCATCTCACCAGCAGCTGTGGTGGGAGATTCTTCCTCCCCCTCCTCCCCCTGCCAGTGGTCCTCATCCTCCTCCCCTTCACACGGGTCTTCCAAAGGATACACACCTAGTTTCTGCATATGCGCTTCAGCCATCTTCTGCACAGCTACACACACACAGACACGCGGGGAGAAGGACACAGGGATAGAGGGTTGTTTTGGGTTTACCAGGCTTCAACACTATCAGCTTTGACTAAAACTACGCCAGGCAGCTGGAAGCTTTTACTGTGGGGCTCCAATTGTAAAATCTAGCCATTACATTTTAACAAACGCATTTAGCCACATTTGGCTCCTCATAAATAAACATCAAGAGTTTTAGTCACTTTTTCAGCTTTGTTTGTCCTAGTACAAATCCAGGTAACGAGGTTAAATATTTTGAATAAAATCTTGAATCCATCTTGTAATTATAATAAAGATTCTGTTAACAATTTTTACTATATGGTTTTAAATCTAAAAATTCCAATTCAAGTCCAACACACTCAGGTCATGTCACTGAACTCTTAACGGGGACAAAGAATGCCGTTCTTCAGCAATCTAAAACTCTGCTTTGAAACTATAAGAAGCATAAGAAATTATCTTTTGACTTTCATCTGCCCCAGCCGGAGCCCTGATACAGGCCATTCTAAATGAGCCTTGCTGTGAAAAGAGCTGTTTACCCCTCCCACTTGGCCAGGACATGAATATGCTAATGAGCTGCTTGCTGATTGGTTGGTTTAAACCAGAAGGCCTCAGACACTGGCGACTGCAGATTGGAGGAGGAAGGGCTCCACATTGTGACATTTTTATGAGAGGTTTCTCAAAAAAAAAAAATTTTTCTCTGTCATTTTTAAATTTTCTAATTTACATAAAAAGTAGGTCACACGCGGCTTTGATTTTTGCGTGCTACTTTTGACCACCCGAGCTGTTTTATTCACAAACAAGAAAATGTTGGTTTAGATTAGGGCTGGGCAATAAATCGAAAATTTATCGCTATCAAAATTTCTGACTTATATCGAGACAATTTTCCCCATGTCAATAAATTTGAAAATGTAAAGATTAAAAGATGTGTGTAGGTTGGCAATGTTCATGTCCCTTTAAGAAGCTGTACCGCCTTGAGTCACATAAAATGTGGCTCAATGGAACCCCATCTAGTGGACAACTTTCGTTTCTGCACATACCCGTAGTTATAGTCCAGTTATCGTTATCGAGGTGAAATCCTCAGTATATCATGATATTTATTTTAGGCCATATCGCCCATCCCTAGTTTAGATTATTCGTCCCCTTTAATATGTTTTTGTCTGATATCGACACTTCTTGTTGTTTGATTACATGCAACACCAGACTGTTGCAAAACCAGGGTTAGGGCGTCCTCTGTCTGATGTAGGACTGACTGTGTGAGCCTGTTCCACCCTGAATCTCTTATCGTTAATCCTGTGGGGCTTCTCCCTGGACTTTGACAAATGAGGGTTAAACAGACACTCAGTATCAAAAGGACTCTGAGATGTCAGATAGGGGATCTCTTCACCCTGCTTTTTTTTGGAAGGCTATTTGCAGCTTATAGCTGTCTGAATGTACCCTTTAGCTAAAAATGTAGGTTACAACAGCAACGTTTTATTTAGATTTTCCTTTTCAAATCTTACTTTAGAATAAGTGTTTCTATATTTGATTTTTGTTCTTCAAAATTTCTTGGAATTTTCAGGTTAAATTCAAAATATTTTGATGAATTTAAGTTTGATTCAAAATATTTAACATCAAATTTTTAAAACCTAAATGTCAAGCAAAGCTTTTTGATGTTTACAATCGGAGCCCCATAAAAAGGTAACACGCTGACAGGCAAAAAGCAAGAAAATGGTTCTCCAAGCTGCTTCTTGCTGCAGAGCTTCTTCCATTTTCTGTTCTCACGTCTTTTCCCCATCTGTTGATTTGCTCTTTCCTCTAATAATCTGTCCTCCTCTTGGCTCTTTCTGTCCCTCCTGTGATTTTATCTCACCTCTCCCTGCCTCTCCTCTTTTAGGTCACCTTCTCTCTTCAGCGTTCTTCCACGCCCTCGGAATCGCACTGATACACTGCTGCGTTTTTTTTTTTTTAGCTCAACTAAGATGAGTTACACAACTGGAATCTTCCTGAGTCTGCTCTCTGCATCTGAGCTGACAAAGGGCAGATTTTCTGGTGCAGGAGCAAAGCTTCCTGGCTGCTTAGATCATCTGATGACACATTAAAGCCCCCTATAACCCTCTGTAGATGAAACAACTGTAAAACACCTTTTATTGTTTGGATGCAGCAATGACTAAATGAAACGATGCATGTGTAATATGCATGTTCATGCCCGTGTGCACTTGTGCCACAGCTGTATACAAAACTGACTGTAATCCTGGATGATCCCGACTTTTCAAGACTCACACTCACAGCTGTCGCAGTCTAATCTGTTTCTCTCTGTTACACAAAAACACATAAAAGCAGAAAAACAAGTGCACATGCAGAAGGTATAACGCTATAATGCATATCCACCCATCTGTCACATGCACTTTTTTCTGTCAGCCTGCGTTTGAAAGCAAGGACAAAGCCTGCGTCGAAGCAAGGTAAACTAGGAGAGGAGTTTAACACGAGGATAAATCACCATCCACACATCATCCACCTGCAGAATGAGCGCCGTTCACACCAACCTTTGAGTGATGGAGGCTGATACACGTTTGGATTCACTCGTTTTGGTTTGAGCACTCCGTTCTCTCCCACTACCCACTGCAAGGTAGTAGAAAACAACATTTTACTTTAGTCTCTTCTAATAACACTTCTCCATTATAGTATTAAGAAATCAACAAATGTGAAAATGTACCATTTCCCGTTTTATCAGCAGGAACTACATTCATAAACTGTGATCTTCAGATGGAAGGAAACATTAAAACAAGAAATTATTTGATGTTTTTCATCGGATCAGGTGGGAAAAGGGACAACATGACAGCAGAAAACAGGTGTGTTTACTAGGGAGGGGGGAAGAAGGATGGAAGATGGATGAAAACAAACCCACAGACACTTAGAAGTAAAAAAGCTTTGTGACTTCACCTTTACCTGATGAGTGGACTGATCGTCCTCAGGAGATGGTTGGTCGGCTACTCTGAAGAGGGTGGCCGGCGTGGGCCTCCTGCGTCTGATCTGAACACAAACACACACAAACACACACACACACACACACACACACACACACACACACACACACACACACACACACACACACACACACACACACACACAGAGAGAGAAAGGGCAGCCGTGAATAAGTGAGCAGCCAAAGTGTAACTGTATAATTAATGATGCTCAGCACAGCTGCATATTAATCTAATAAGGAATATGTTGACAGTTCCTGCTGGTTGGGCCCTTGGTGACTTCATTAGTGGATCTGCCGAGCCGATCGATGGGCCGATGACTTTTATGACCAGTGCAGTCAGAGCTCACCGCGGTCAGATCCAGTTAAAACGTTCTGATTGGACTTATCAGCTTAATGAATGAAAGTGTTAAATCCTTCTGTAGAAGATTTATTATATTTTTAATACTTTGCACCTCCTTGAACCGTCACCTTATCGTGGTGGAGGAGTTTGAGTGCCCTAATGATCCTAGGAGCTATGTTGTCTGGGGCACTTAGTGCCCCTGGTAGGGTCTCCCATGACAAATTGGTCTTAGGTGAAGGGTGAGACAAAGAACGGTTCGAAGGATCTTTCATGGCGGTTAAAACGAAGAGTCGGAGTACCCGGCCCGGAGGGTTACCGGGGTCCCACCCTGGAGCCAGGCCTGGGGTTGGGGCCCGTGAGCCAGCGCCTGGTGGCCGGGCTTTCGCCCATGGGGCCCGGCCGGGCCCAGCCCGAACCGGATACATGGGCTCGTCCAACTGTGGACCCACCACCCGCAGGAGGAACATGAAGGGTCCGGTGCAATGCGAATCGGGTGGCAGACCAAGGCGGGAGCCTTGGCGGTCCAATCCCCGGACAAGAAAACTAGTTTTTGGGACATGGAACGTCACCTCGCTGGCGGGGAAGGAGCCGGAGCTTGTGGCAGAGGTTGAGCGGTACTGGCTAGATATAGTCGGACTCACCTCGACACATTGCATTGGCTCTGGAACCCGGGACCTGGAGAGGGGTTGGACACTCTACTTTGCTGGAGTTGCTCCGGGTGAGAGGCGGAGGGCTGGGGTTGGCTTTTTGTTAGCCCCGAGACTCTCTGCCTGTGTGTTGGGGTTTACCCCGGGGGACAAGAGGGTAGCTTCCTTGCGCCTTCGGGTCGGGGAACGGGTCCTGACTGTTGTTTGTGCTTATGGGCCAAATATCAGTTCAGAGTACCCACCCTTTTTGGAGTCCCTGGGACGAGTGCTAGATAGTGCTCCATCAGGGGACTCCATTGTCCTGCTGGGGGACTTCAATGCTCACGTGGGCAATGACAGCTTGACCTGGAGGGGTGTTATTGGGAGGAACGGCCCACCTAATCTGAACTCGAGCGGTGTTTTGTTATTGGACTTCTGTGTAAGCTGCTGTTTGGCCATAACGAACACCATGTTCGAACATAAGGATGCCCACCGGTACACTTGGTACCAGGGCAGCCTAGGTCACAGGTCGATGATAGATTTTGTAGTCGTATCATCTGACCTGCGGCTGTATGTTTTGGACACCCGAGTGAAGAGAGGGGCGGAGCTGTCAACTGATCACCACCTGGTGGTGAGTTGGATCAGATGGCAAGGGAACATGCCGCGTAGACCTGGCAGACCCAAACGCATAGTGAGGGTCTGCTGGGAACGCCTGGCAGAAGAACCTGTCAAGACGGTCTTCAACTCCCACCTCCGGCAGAGCTTTGACCACGTCCCGAGAGCAGTGGGGGACATTGAGTCCGAGTGGGCCTTGTTCCACTCTGCGATTGTCGAGGCGGCTGTTGCTAGCTGTGGTCGTAAGGTGGCCGGTGCCAGTCGTGGTGGCAACCCCCGTACCCGCTGGTGGACACCAGAGGTTCGGGGAGCCGTCAGGCTGAAGAAGGAGGCCTACAGGGCGTGGCTGGTCTGTGGGTCTCCGGAGGCAGCAGACAGGTACCGGATAGCCAAGCGGGGTGCAGCAGTGGCAGTTGCCGAGGCAAAATCTCGGGCATGGGAGGAGTTTGGTGAGGCCATGGAGAAAGACTATCGATCGGCTCCAAAGAGGTTCTGGCAAACTGTCCGGCGCCTCAGGAGAGGAAGGCAGCAACTCGCTCACACTGTTTACAGTGGGGATGGGGAGCTGCTGACGTCAACTGAGGCTATAGTCGGACGGTGGAAGGAATACTTTGAGGAGCTCCTCAATCCCACCAATGCGCATTCCGAGGAGGAACCAGAGCTGGGAGGCCTGGGGATGGACTGTCCGATCTCGGGGGCAGAAGTTGCTGAGGTAGTCAAACAACTACACAGCGGCGGAGCCCCGGGGGCGGATGAGGTTCGTCCTGGGTATCTCAAGGCTATGGATGTTGTAGGGCTGTCATGGTTGACACGTCTCTACAACATTGCGTGGTCATCGGGGGCAGTTCCTAGGGAGTGGCAGACCGGGGTGGTGGTCCCCATCTTTAAGAAGGGTGACCTGAGGGTGTGTTCCAACTATAGGGGGATCACACTCCTCAGCCTCCCTGGAAAGGTCTACGCCAAGGTACTGGAGAGGAGGGTCCGATCGATAGTTGAATCTCAGATAGAGGAGGAGCAATGTGGTTTTCGTCCTGGCCGTGGAACTGTGGACCAGCTCTATACCCTTGCAAGGGTGATGGAGGGGGCATGGGAGTTTGCCCAACCAATCCACATGTGTTTTGTGGATTTGGAGAAGGCTTATGACCGTGTCCCCAGGGGCACCCTGTGGGGGACGCTCCAGGAGTATGGGGTGGGTGGCTTTCTGTTAAGGGCCATTCAGTCCCTTTACCAGAGGAGCGTGAGTTTGGTCCGCATAGCCGGTAGTAAGTCGGACCTGTTCCCAGTGAGGGTTGGACTCCGCCAGGGCTGCCCTTTGTCACCGGTTCTGTTCATCACTTTTATGGACAGAATTTCTAGACGCAGCCGTGGTGTGGAGTGTGTCGAGTTTGGTGGCAGGAGAATCTCGTCTCTGCTTTTTGCGGATGATGTGGTCCTCCGAGCTTCATCCAGGTCTGACCTTCAGCTCTTGCTGGGTAGGTTCGCGGCCGAATGTGAAACGGCTGGGATGAGGATCAGCACCTCCAAATCTGAGACCATGGTTCTCGACCGGAAAAGGGTGGCTTTCCACCTCCGGGTCGGGGGAGAGGTCCTACCTCAAGTGGAGGAGTTTAAGTATCTCGGGGTCTTGTTCACGAGTGAGGGTAGGAGGGATCGGGAGATCGACAGGCGGATTGGTTCGGCGTCTGCAGTGATGCGGACGCTGAGCCGATCTGTCGTGGGGAAGAGGGAGCTGAGCCAGAAAGCCAGGCTCTCGATTTACCGGTCGATCTACGTCCCAATCCTCACCTATGGTCATGAGCTTTGGGTAATGACCGAAAGAACGAGATCGCGGATACAAGCGGCCGAAATGAGTTTCCTCCGTAGGGTGGCTGGGCTCAGCCTTAGAGATAGGGTGAGGAGCTCGGACATTCGGGAGGGACTCGGAGTAGAACCGCTGCTCCTCCGGATCGAAAGGAGCCAGTTGAGGTGGTTTGGGCATCTGGTCAGGATGCCTCCTGGACGCCTCCCCGGGGAGGTGTTTCGGGCATGTCCTGCCGGCAGAAGGCCCCCGGGTCGACCCAGGACACGTTGGAGAGGTTACATCTCCAATATGGTCCGGGAACGCCTTGGGGTCCTGCCGGAGGAGCTGGTGGACAAGGCCGGGGAGAGGACGGCCTGGAGCTCCCTAATTGGGATGCTGCCCCCGCGACCCGGACCCGGATAAGCGGAGGAAGACGAAGACGAAGATACTTTGCAACTTGACTTGCTCTTAGCACCCCTGGTGTCTGTGAGCCAAAGCAGAAGGGAAACATATCTCCTCGCTGTGCGTTCATCTTTTTAACATCTTAATCCAACAGCTGTAATGTCTCCCAGCCTTCACTGTTTCTACAGGAGCGATTCATCACTAAATCAGACAAATCAGCCGTGTTAATGATCTAGAACTTGCAGGAAATGTGCTGGAAGCCTGTCAGGTTCACTTTACTAAGTCCAGCAAGGACTTGACCAGCACTCCGAAGTTGCAAATGCAGTATTCAGGCCACAGAGGGGAGTGGGGTCAGAGTGGCATTTCATTAACCTTGAAAAGGTTCATTTTAGCACCTACTGGTTCAAGGAAGTGATTTAAAATGATGAAAAAGTTGCATAGAATGGCTTTAAAGTATGTGATCATCTTTGCACATTGTCAAGTCCTGCACTCTTTTGTGCCTTCCCACTTGAGAGGGATAAACATCCACCCAGAGTTGAGGAACTGGATTTTACTCAGAGACTGAAACGATGCTTTACTTTTTGCTTTTATGTTTATTTTTCAGCTGGGCAGCTCAGCTCAGGTCAGGTGAAAAAAACCTTCAAACAAGAAAACATATACCCTCAAATTTGTTTTACATCATTAGTTATAGCATTAACTTTATACAGCGTTAACATGAAATAATTATCAATAATATCAATAATACATCTACTACTGAAATCTAAGTATTCACAGAACCCAAAAATAGACAAACCAGATTTATCACCACATGAAATATTAAGAAACCCACCAAAAACCATTTGCTACAAGCATTTTGTGATTCTATAAATAAAGAAACAGAGTAATTATCTCACTACTTGGCAAATAACCACAATGTTATGGTGAACCCAAACAAATCACCCAGAATCCCATTTGTTTGGGCCACGCCTAGGCAAACAAACAATCAGGTCAACAGTTTCTTATTTAACCAGCAGCAAAGTCCATACACAACCAGCACGTGTTATAAATGTATCTTACCGGCTGCCTCTCTGATATTGGTAGATGTATTTAGTTCTGAACAGACTTTCTGAATGACTGACTCAGAACACCATGCTCTCTGATAAAGTTACCTCTCAGAGAGTGGTGCATCACCTTTATTGTCCCTAAGGAACCCCTTCTGCTGAAGATGGTTCCTACACTGAAAAAAAATCCAAGCTTGACTTGACACCTCCCACTCGATCCTTCCGTAATATCCATGGGAGGATC